AAGTCAAATCACTAATAACTTTTTTTTAATATTTGAAGGATCATGACACATTATTAGATGATGCACTTGGTCTTTAAATATAAAATAATTAATTGTTGAATTGATAATAAATTAAATTATTTAATTTATTTAATTATAATTATAATTTATATTTTGACCAACATTTTAGAAACTTAATGGTTCATACATTAAGAAACATTAGTAATAAATGAATTATATTCATAAACCTAGAAAAATCAAGCAAGAATTTAATTGAACTTATTTCTAAAATTATCCTGAATTAATATATGGATATTATTCATGAAGCAAATTGATATTTTATTAATTTATAAGATTTTTTAAATTTATTTTATAAATAATAAGTTATGCCTCTTATTTTATTTTAAGTGTAGTTATCTGTTTGATAGAAAAACTACTTAAACATAATATTTATGCTAGCATTCTAGATATAACAATCCCTTTCTTTAAAATGTGAAGTTAGGAGATTTTTTATGAGTGAATTATATAGATTACCATTGAAGACCTTACAATTAAACAACTTATAATTTGTAATAATTTAATTTTTAAAAAATTATCAAAAAAAAATAAAATTATCAAATAATAAATCTCTAATTAATTTTAGATTTGTCTAACAAAATTTTAAAGGCTCTCAACTAATTTTATTTCATAATTTCATTTCCTAACAGTTTCCAACACATGTTCATCAACAAGATGAGGTAGCAGACTCTATTTAATAGTCGGGTCATGTTATCGAACTCCTGCGTATATTGCTTATGATGTATTATTCTAAGCGAGTTAAATGGAGACCAGCGTGGCATTTTCTTCATTAATGAAGTGGTATCGGTAAAGAAAATGTCGCCCGATTGTCTTTGCCGGCATGTTTTGAAAATAATAATTTTTTTTCCAAATATAAAATACTTTAAAAATCAACTACTATAGCAAGATAATAGTAAGCAAAATATAGCTGAATATAACCTCCTTAAACAGGGAGTGGAGTAGCTTTTGTGAGCAACTTCCAAACATTGCTCTATTCCGTGCAATTTAACAGTAAGCAAAAGAAACTGTCGTTCAACTTGATATACAGCTGAAAATTTACTGAAATCAAAGTGAAGTTCAGATAGCAGAACAGCCAAGGATCTACCTATTTATTGTGTCGCAAAACTGGCAAAACCAGAAGAGGACTGAGTGGAAGAAGAACAAAATTTGTTTAACTCACAACTCATTCTAGTTGACATTGTTGCGGCATTAGAATGAAAGCAATTGAAAGCAGAAGAATTTCATCTCACCAGTCATATCAAATGTGCATGCTGTTGAGAAGAAATGGATCTCGAAATATCAGGAAATTGGGAAGTCAAAGCTGTTGATCAAGATAAGGATCTCTAGGACCTCTCGGACTTAAGATTCCTGAAACAGCCTCGGAAACACCGGATGCATAACTTTTCAACCAAGAGGTGCTGCGTGTCAACCATCCAGTCTGTGCCTGTTCTTGTACTTCAAGCATACTCTTCCTTTCTTCCTCCACCAATATGTCAAGCCACCTCTTAGCCATAAAAGTCTTCACAGCCTCGACCCCTTCCTTAACCACTTCTGCTGGTGGAATTACAAGAGGATTTTGGTCCAAGTTGAGCTTGGTCAAGTTATCCAGCCGACCAAATGTATCAGGCAGAGCAGATATCTGGTTGTTGCTAAGATCAAGTTCCTTGAGGCTCATCAAATCACCAAAAGTTTCAGGGAGTTCTTTCAGGTCACTGAAATTACTGCTCAAATTGAGGATCTCTAGATTTGCCAGTTTCCCAATAGCAAGAGGAAGGCCGCGAAGCTCATTGAAATGAGCATCGAGGTGGCACAGAGATCTCATCTCACAAATAGAAGTGGGAAGGGAACAAATCTTGTTCAGCTGGATCGAAAGCCTCTGAAGATTCAACATTTCATATCCAATATTAGTCGGCAAGTATGTCAGGCGGTTGAAGCTCACATCCAATTCCAGCAATGACCTAGACCATTGATGAATATTAAAGTACTGTAAAGGATTCCTGGACAAAGGACAAACTTGTAATGAATTACAATTACCTGCAATGACAAATGGTGTCAGGCAAGATCTCTATTTTGTTGCTAGGGACATCCAGGATTTTCAAGTTTTGCAGTAATCCAATTGAATCTGGCAATGCTTCTAACAGATTTGAAGCAAGAATGAGCTTCTCGAGAATTTCTAACCCAGCTATGGAATCTGGAATGACCTGTTTCACTCATACAGGTTACTCAGTTAATAGGAAAAATAATGCAAGTAATAACCATTCAAAAAAAAAGAAGGGATCAGACTAACAAGATGATAGTCATAATTTAAGATGGGGCCACAACAAGAAAAACACTTTTCACTACCGCACATGCAAACCTACAACACTGTTTTTATGACCTACTGAAATATCCATCCACGAAGCAAAACAAGGATGAGAGGTTTCATATCGCAGTTAACAAATCAGGTTGGTTCTCAAAGATTTGCAGATCGCACACTCATATTATATGTTTCATAAACAATAATGTGGGAAAAGTCTAATACCATATACACCTATAAACTCTAACCAGTATGATCATTAATAAGAAAGGTTTGGACATTAGAACTGTCACATGTTAAGAAATAACCACCTTAACAGAACCTATAATATGGTGTGACAAAGAGTATTTATTCTTATCCACCTCAAGCAAGATAAATCTTCCATTACCTACAATAAAATACTGAAGAAATAATCAGCCAGCAACTTAAAGAACCTATATCATTCCGCAAGATGGCATAACATGTATCTAATTGATATAGACAATTTCATCTAGGTGTTTGTTTTTGCAATTGCACCGTGCTTTTGAAAAATTTTGAACTTTTTTTTAGCTTCTTCTTCGTATTATTATTATTTGTATTTTTGGATTGTTTTAATGTAATGATATCAAAAAAAAAAAATTTTAAAAAAACATTATTTTAATGCATTTACGAAAACACTTCTAAAAGCTACACAATCTCAAACACGATCTAAAACAAACCCATATCAGAAGCATAGCTAGTAGCCCACAAATTAATTCTACACATTGCCAAAGTAAGATACCTTACCAAATTAGCTTTCTCTGGATTTCAATATTTGTTTATTTTATTTCAATGACAGATTTAACATGCACAAATCCTTTAACATTACCAATCCTTTAATTTCGATAACAAATGCACACCTCTTAATCCAATCCACCTTCGTGCAACACAAATTAATCAGAACTGCACTCTATCCAATCAACTCACACATTAAAAATCAAAATTAATTCACAGCACATGGAAGATATATATATATATATTTAAAATTAGATTTAAGAAAGAAAAAAAAAAACCTCAAGTTGATTATTGGAAAGATTAAGCACTTTCAAGCCAACAACCCTCCCAAATGCCTCAGGTAAAATTCTGAGTCTCCGATTCGACAAATCCACTCTTTCCATCCCTTTTCCACTCCCCTCTCTCAAAACTCCCACGACCTCCTCACTCACCTCCTCCTCCTCCACCACCACCACTTCTTCCTCCTCCCCTCCTCGCTCCGCCTTCTCATAAATCTTCACCAATCTTTCCTCCGCTTCCTTCAACAACTTCTCATACTCCTCGTGCATTTCATCCAATTGCAACACCATTTTATAAAACCCCCTCTCTTTCTCCGCCTCTTCTCGAATCTTCTTTTCTTTCTCAGCCAAATGCGCCCTCCACTCTAACCTATCAATCTCACTCGATCGCTGCGAAAGCACAAGATCCTCCAATTCTTTCGATAGATTGCTCTCGATTTCGCTTACTTTGAGTTTCGCAGCGTCGACAGTTTCGTGGTCGGGTCGGGGGCCTAGGGTTTGGAGTACCGATCGGGTTTGGGCTACATCGCAAACAGCGCGTCTCATAGAAGAGAGGAGGGCTGGGTCAGTTAGTTGGGGAAGCGGTGGTGGTTGTTGTTGTGGTGGTGGCTGCGGAGGTTGCTCGATGTCGAAGGAGGGGTCAGGGGGTTTGGGTCCGAGAGAGGGAAGACGGGCCATGACGTAAGAGAGAATCGGGTGGGTTTTCGGGTTCGGATCCATTATAGGGATCTTCCTTGGAGAGAGAGCTCCTCTTGTGATGATGAATAGAGTTTGTTATAAATATGAATGACATTGGCGGAAGCAGAGGCCGGTTTTCGACGTGGATAACGATAATCGAAGATTGTTTTGATGAGGTTACATCCGGGTGCTGTAATTGATGATGACTTGTCAAGATACTATTGGATGGTCAGGGTGTTATGCGACGCTTTTAGAGGGTGTAAAATAAAATTTAATCAGTTTTTTAATTACTACAGTAAACAAATATTTATTAAAAAATAATTCTTAATCTAACATAATCATAACGCAGGTGAGACCTGTAAAATTCCGTAAACATGCTGTGAAATTTACATAAAAAAATTTCTATTCTTTTTCACTATCTTATTTTTTTATTTAATTCCTCAATTGTTTTATTTAGTTAGCGATTCTACAATTAATATTTATTTTTTAATAAAAAAATTAAAACATATCTTATCTTTTATAAATTTATAAACAAAATCATCTTTAATCCTTTAACCTTAGAAAAGCCATATATATCATTTAAAGATAATAAAATACTTACTTATAAAAATACTTACTTATAAAAAATAATTACAAGTAATGTTATCTCTATATGACAAATTATTTATGTATTTTAAAAATATTTTAAAAAAATTTAAAATTTAAAATTATTTATGTATTTTAAATTAATATATTTTTAATATTTTCAAATTATTTTGAAATACTAATGTCAAAAATAATTTTTAAAAAATAAAAAAAATCATTGGTATACAAAATTATTTAAAAACAACTATAACTACATTTAAAAAAATCACCTTACTAATTTAAAATATATTTTTTTTACTATGGTAAAAAAAATATCAATACTACAAGAAAACTAGGCAAATCTTTCCCTTTCCTTTAACATGATCAACAACCGGGCAGTGCTTAATCTTTCAAAATCTTCATGGCATCTCATTCAAGTTCAGATCTTTGAAGAATGGGTCTTTCAGGGAAGCATCAACCTGCGAGGACAAACAAGGAATAACAAATGTGTTCTCTCAGGGGTGTGTGTGTCTAATCAAAGACACACAGTATAAGACAAAGAAGAATGAGAGCACCTATCATGCCAGTAGTACCTCAATAAGAACCCAGATGCGCTGTCCAAATTTCACACCTGATGGATGTGCCATCTTCCACTATGATATGTATCTACCAGGCAGAGCAGGAGCTACAAAATCAGCTGCAATATCAAGTTCACCATCAACAGGCAAGCCATTGACTGGAATCTGGACAGATTAATGAAGCCACAAAATGATAAAAGGTCAGAAGAATAGTTTAAGTCAAGGCAGGTGCTAAACAACAGCAAACTGAAGATGCCCACCTCTGTCTCAACAGAATCAGCGCTGAAGAACTGGTCTCCACCAATCCACACAAGCCGCACTCCCTGGGGCCATGCAACTTTACCACTGTTGCGCATTCGCCATATCTTGGTAAAGGGTGTAGATGAAGGCATCACAGTACCATCTGAGACATTGACATCCAAAACAAAACGGCTGTCTAGCTTAGGTTGAGCTCCCTTTACTCCACGGGAGCCTTTGTAGAGAGGATGTGGGAAGGCCCAAGATTTCTGTGTCTGCCGGCAGCGGAAAATAGGAAAGGATGAGTCAGCAATGAAAAACGCAAGCAAGATTATATCAACTGAGAAAACACGCAAAAACATTTTAAACATCAGCACAGATAAAAAGTCCCGATACAGGATAATTGAAACACTTGGAAGACCAAGGATTGCGGCAAGACATCGGCCTGTCCATCTTTATGTAATCAGAGCTTCATTACCCCCGGCAGCAAAGCAGATAATTGGATGAACACCACATCCATCGCATTGAACACCCCAATGAAACATGCCAAGCATGGGATTATTGACAGTTTCGCTTCTCTTAATTCCATGACTTTTTGGAGAACGCACAGCTGAGTCATTTTCCACAGGCACTCCACTAAATGGAAAATCAGTGTGTGAAGAAAAGCCGTAATTCATAGGAAAGGTGGGCAAACCAAAGGGAACAGGCTTCTTAGTAGGAAGACAGGTATTCTGTTTCCTGGCTTCCTGCCCATCATCACCAGCAGGGACAAATGATGCAAGGGGAGCACAACGTGCACACAGATTGGAAGCTTGAGGGTTCCGATCCAGATTAACAGGAGCAGAGACAGTCGTGTGTGGTGCCGCAGTGCATTTTCAAAGCTCTCTTCCTGGCCGGTTTTGAAAGGTGAGTTTGAATTAATTAGTGTCCAAGTGAACATTTAAGAATTATCCGACTCAATAAAATTTAAAAACTCTAATATTTTTAATTATATTTTATTTAAAAAATTAATTTTTTTAATATTAATAAATTAAAATATATAAATTAAAAAAAATCACATAATAATATAGCATTTATAGAATTTGATCACAATTATAATTTTATTTCTAATAATATTTTACTTGATATTAAGAAACCATGAAAATTATATTAGTTATGGAATGAATTTTATATATAATAGAATTATAAATAATTTAATAAAATAATATTTCTAATAATATTTTACTTGATATTAGTACACCTTTAAGAAACCATAAAAATTATATTACTTGTGGAATGAATTTTATATGTGATAGAATTATAGATAGTTTAATAAAATAATAAAAAATATTTTATATAAAATATTATTTATTTCATAATGTAATAGTAATAATTCAATCTATAATATTTAAATTAAAAATTATTAATATTAATATATATATATAATTATTTTATAATTTTAATTTGAAAAGTATTCTTAACCAATTATATCAAATTATTTTTTATTAAATTATAAATTTAATTAAACATATATAAATATTAAATTATTCTTAATTAAAATAAAAAATATCTTTTATAAAATATTTTTTTCTATAATCACAAACCACAAAGCTACGTATCCCTAACACACTAATGGAGTAAGTAAAAGATGTTAAGACGGACTCGATTTTACTGAAATAAGCTCAGTGTCTCATTCTTTGTGTTAATATTTATATCCTTTTTTGGCTTATGGAGCAAGTAAAAAATATAATTTTTTTTAGTTTTTTTTTTTCAGAAAAAAAAGGAGAACCTTTATGAGCAAGGAACCTTAAGGTTATAGTGGAAAATATTGTTAGAATTTGTGAGTACTTACGTGGATGCATCTGGTTGTATAATCTAAAATTTAACAAGTTATAAATTTAAATAATTAATTTAAGTTTAAGAGAATCATATGAGTTTATTTGTTTTTTTTAACTTAATTTTTTAATTTTTTTTATTTGGTATTTGAT